ATTTCAGGATATTGTAAGCATCATGAGGTCTGTTTATGAGCAAACTTTCAGATGAAAATCTTCTCTTTTTGACTTTTCTTCAATACGTTGCCATAAGTTAAAAATTCGATAAAACGATCATAAGACCACAAGAAAGATCCTTGAGGATGGAGTCTCTTAGGACTTTTCTAGTCTCGCTGAGTCCTATTTATTAACAAAATACCACTTCAATCGATAATTAACAGTTGGGTATGTTCTTTTGTAAGTCTAATTATAAGAAGATTTTTGATCAAAATATTCCAATAAAAGCGGAATATTATGCAAAAAAGACTTTTTTGCAGATAAAAACCTTCACAATATCTACAGATTATTGATCAACGAAGAAAATAGCAATATTTGAATGTTGAACATTAAATTGAAATAAAACACAACAGAAAAAAACCGAATATAAAAATTTAAAGAATGAAAGAGTTGTTTTGCCTATATATTTGGCTTCAGTATATCAATATCAATAATACTACTTCGTTTCGTTTTTTATATCTCTACTAAGATAGAATAAATTTGAAGTACTTATGAAAATTAACAAATAAAAAAGAAATCTTCTGTTGCAATTACAAAGACATATAAGATTACATGGAATCTTAGCAAAAACCTCTGAAAAATTGCATAACCTCGCAAGATATTTGTGATCACATCAAAGCTATTACTAATCATTAGTAATCAGATTATGTTGACCGAAAAGGATACTACCCGTCTGTTTGAGATGATATTTCTCATTTAAAAAAAAAAGGTGTCATATCTTTCTTGTTGCACAATTATAATACAAAGCATAATAAAAAGCAAAAGTAAAAATTCTAAAGAAATAATAATAAAATTCAAAGGAACACTGTATTTTTATATAAACTCATGTATATTAATGTCCATTAGTCTTTGTATTTCTTCAATTACAGTATTATTTATGTTTTATTGTTTTTTAAATGTACCATATTAATATATTTATTATTAATATCAACGAAACATAATTACGATAGTTACATATAAATTTCAAATAACAATATGATATTTGTTGACAAGTGATCAATTAGGGAAAATCGTCATAGATGTTTCAAATTTTATGAATCAACTCTTGTTTTTATGAATTAAAATTATTTTATTTTATATTTTAAACAGAAATGGAAATATGTTGTCGTGAAGAAATGTGCAGAATTATTCTTTTTTTTCAAGTTTCAAACGAATTATCATAATAAATAGTAGAGAATATTAATCATTTTCAATTTGATTCTTGTTGAAATTGAGACCAAGCTTCATTTAATTCAGCAAAAATCAGTTTAGCTAACTGTTCATTTGGATCATCACCAAGCTTTAATAATAAAACAAACATAATCTTTAACAAGGTACATATAAAATAACTTCTTACTCTATCTGGATGAATATGAAGTACGGCTTTTTTATAAACTTTTTTAACTTGTTCATTTGTTAATAATTCACTCATTTGACATCCAGTCCATGTACATTCTGGCCATGTTACACTTGATAAACTATATAATAATGCTCGAATATTTCTTCTTTTACCTTTAGTCCATTCTCGAACCTATTTAACTCATCAAAATTAAGATAATTAAATTTAAATCGATTTTTACTTTGAGAACTGTTGGATCAATAGCTTTATCTAACGTAGCTTTTCGTTGATTATCGATTATAGGTGATGTTAATGGTTCGAGTTTATGTTTAGAATATTGTTCTAATCCATCTATTCCATTAAAATAGTCATAAATATCGATTTTTGTTTTTTGTGAACGATTTGGAGGTGAATTCGACTTAACTGTGTTTATCAACAAAAAGATATTTATCAAAAGTATAAAATTTTTTTTTTGTTTCCATTACTTGATTGTGGTTGAGAAGAAGGAGTATTGTTTGTCATTATAGTGGCATTATAATTAGGACTACTTGTTGCTGATGTTGTATTAGATTGTTTAGTTGAATCTAAAACAAATAAAAAAAATATGGAACGCTTCACGATTTTGCGTGTCATCCTTGCGCAGGGGCCATGCTAATCTTCTCTGTATCGTTCCAATTTTATTATATGTCCCACCGAAGTGGGACAACTATCTCTCTATCTTATGTCTATATATATTCAATCGAGAGAAATAGAAAGAAAATGGTGAATAAGTAGAATGGAAAATTTCGAGTAATAGAAAAGCCTGACATCTATCAAAAAACGTCTTACTCGACGCGTTCTGTTTTGTGTTAGCAATTGTTGTTGCTATTATAGGTGTCGGTAAAAGCATTTGTGATACATTTCTCCGTAAAGCAAGTTTATGTAAATCAAAATTATCATCAAGAAGATTTGTTTCGGAATTGATACTTGAATTAAATTCATGTTGTTGTTTATCAGATGACATTGATCTTTCAAATATGAATACATTATTTGAATTATTCTCTTCAATCTCCAGAAGAGTACCAATAATTGTTTGTTCTTTATTTTGTTTTTCTTCCATTAATGGTAGTGAAAGACTTAATTTGGATAAGATGTAAAAATTTATCCACAGAAAAAAATAATAAATTGGCACTGTTTAAAAGTTTTTTCTTTTGCTTGCTGTTTTTAGTTAACATGCTGGAAACAGATTTTATTCTTCATCATTCAATCACGACTATTGATTCAATTGATAGTACTTCTCATATTCGACTTGATCGTAATGATCATTTATGTCGTATGTGCAAGAATCAACTAATTGAAAAACAATAAACTAATCATGCACCAATTGAACATCTTACCAGAGAATATATTCAATTGTTAATCATCTATTGACAGTATATGATGTGTATATATAATGTTAGATAAAGTGATAAAGCATATGTCGATGAATTTATGTGAAACTTAAATTTTAGTATGCTGCTTTTGTAATTCTATACTGTGAAGCTACTTAGAAATGAAAATTCACATGAAATTCGTGGGGAAGTCAATGAATATTTTTCAACTGAAAGAGGATATAGCTCTCACCTGTAGGAGAAATTTGTCGATTCGCAAGCTTGAGCACAACTCCTGACTGCTGAAATACGTTGAAGAGGCAACAAACATTAAAATAAAGTGAGTTGCTAACTATTCCCCAGAAGTCAATGCCACCAGAAAGCGCAAACACACACGACACATACGTATGATATTTTCTCTTTCTTTTTTATTCGCTGTCGCACATTGCAAGAATGACGAATTCTTTTCATTATTTGTATTATTTGAGAAGTGCACAAAAAAAAAGAAAGAGAAAGTGCTATAATCGTGTGCATCATGTATATTTTTCTCTTGCTGCCAGACGTTGACTTCTATTGAGTTGTTGAAAGATTGTAGTATTCACGCTAGTAAAAACGAGTATAACTTATTGATTAGATCAAAAGTAACATAAAATGGTACAATATGAATTCACTGAATCAAATCTATATCTAATATTTCGAAAATGAGTATTCACGTTCATAGGAAAATGGCGAACAAGAGTAAGATTTATTCGAATGATTTTTCTTTCATTCAGTCTAGACTCGAAAGTGATGGATCTGAAATGATCTGTTCGGACGACTTTTTAGCAGCTCTTTCTGGTGGCATATATTATCCGCTTAATTTTGTCACAGGCTTTTCTTCTTGCAACATATCTGTGATGACTTGATATTGTTTTAGAAGACTGTTTGAATGTGATTTGATGAGTCAATTGAAATAAGATATTTATTCCTTCTACACTCTAGAAAAAGTAACCTGCTAAACATATAAAACTCTATTTCGGAGATACTACTATCGGAATTTTTAAAAAAGGTAGGTGGAAAAAAGGCTTATAACTTTTGAATGGAAGGTCATAGCGACTTACGGTTTTCAACGTTCAATAGATGACAGTCGGGGGGCCATATCAATGTGTGAAAATGGTCTTCAGAAGTACTTTTTCAGGCCAGTCTTAGTCGACGAACTTAATGGCAAATTGACGAATCTTTTGAGGGAATTTTTTCCACTAGGTTTGCATCCCAGCATGCCCTCTCTACATTCGTACCTAAGCAATTTTGGGATTTCGCTCCCTTGAAACACTAGAGGTCGTTTAAGAGTGCAACTATATGTAAGACACTTTTCGCTGAAAAGCGAAAAAATATTTAGAATATAGATTTTTTGACAACGCTAATCAACATGAAAGGATTTATTTTGGTATTATATTGTAATTTTGTGTTGAGCTCATGAGCGTAAGCACACAATAATGCTTATTTTCGAGTTCCTTTGAAAAAGAAAATCTGTTTCTCTTATAATTTGCTTGATTCTATTTTCTTTCAGTTTTTCATCGGTCTATTATGATAACAGAGCTTGCGTTGCTCACTCACAAAATAAAAAGTGTTAAAAAAATTTCCGAATACAAAAATAATTGCTATTCCACATTTTCCTGATCATCATCAGAATCTGTTTCTTCACTGTCAGATTGTATATGAGGGTCGATTTCTTATTTCATAATTGCATCTGCTGCTTTCAACATTTCTTCAACTCCACGAATATCATGAAAATATGAACTTGTACGTTTGTCGTCCATTGCCACCATAAACTGCTCAATCAATTGTTTTACATCATTCTGATGAAATGTTGTGTTTTGGTCACAAACAAACTATTTGAGATTATTCCATGACAGTTCGATTGGATTAAGGCTACAGTATAGTTTAGGAAGACGAAAGATTTCTACAGCACATTTCTCTGCAATACGATCACTCTATTCAACAAAGCGAAGAGAAAAACCAGGGTCTGCAAAACTCAAAATAAGTCTTAAAAAACTGACTTACTATATATTCTTTTGGTGGACAATTTGCACACACCAGTTGTAATAATTGAGCTTTAACAAACTTTTTTGGAAAATTAATTTTTCGATCTTTAAGCTATTTTTGAATTTCTCCTTTTGTTGAAGCACGTTTTGGAATGACTGATTCTTCCGTGAGTTTATTGTGCCAAGTTGCATTATTCAGACAAATAGCAATTCTTTCTTTTCACCTATGAAGAAAGTGTAAGAAATCATTCATGGAAAATTCGACTCAGAATGCATCAACTCACCAATCTCCTCTCTTAATGTTGCACAAATTGAATCTAACCACGAGAGAAAATGTGTTGAATCCATGTGATGCTCTTCAATACACGCCCAAATATCAACTGATGGAATACGATAATCCTTGATATTTATTAGTGCTGATACTGCCAAACGAGATCCTATAAACGAGAGAAATAATGTTATGTGAGAGGACGATTTACGAATAACGTCATGGCTTACCTTTTCCTCCGCCTTTTTTTATTTCTCCTTTGTCCTCTAGAGTTCAAATTGATCTTTTAATCTCTCGAAGATTCAACCACATTTCATCGTGATAATACAAATGAACGTTTGTTTCTCTTAGTTCTTCAAGAGTCTGGAAATACTTTGCTCTTGCTGCTACGAAAGCCTGTGAATCTAACGCAACTTTTATCATTGATGTTCGTTGATAGATGGAACTAAGCTAATAAATGAAAAAAAGCGTGTTGATGTTTTTCGTTTCTTCTTGTCTATGTTAGACCAAACATTTCACTTACATTTCTCATTTTTTTTGCGTAACGTGCTTGTCGAACGAATAGGAAAATCTTCATATTGTTCCTTCAATCTTTTCAAAAATTTGTCAGAGGTTGGATACACTTTTTCTTGAATTAATTTATGAAATTCAAGCCTAAATAAATCTTTTCCTTGCTCTAATAAAATGATGTTTCGATGTCCAAAATGCACTAAAAAGTAAAGAACTGACTTTCTTGCTGTTTGAACGAAAGAATAAATCTCTTACTTTTCTTCTGAGGAGGTAATGCTTGAGGAATAAGAAGATCGATCTGACTTGTTGATGAAGAGGCAGAAGAGACAGTATGCCGACGACAAAGAATTTTAGCTGGTGGAATAGATGTTGAAGATTCACGATGTTTGGGTGTCACTAATGATATGGTGCGACTACGAAAGTCTGTAACATTTGTGTCTGCTTCCCCTTTCTCTTCTGTCTGTTGCTATTGCTGTTGTGGTTGTTCCATTATTGTTTTCTGTCTTAAGTGCTGTAATTCATGCTTTAATCTGTGGACAGGTCTTCCAGAAATATTTAACATTTTAACAAGACGATCGTTCACATTGTAGAGAGGAATGACTAGACCATTTTTCTCGCTTTCAACAAAATTAATAATGTGAAACATTAATTGTTTTACTTCTTGCGAAAATTCATGGCCTTTCGGCATTATGAATAAAGAAGTTATCTAAAACAAATACTGTATATATTTCGAAAAAAACGAAAGACAAATAACCAAGAGAATTATTACGTATATATATATCTTTTCTTCCTTTCTTTTTTTTTCATCCTGGCGTTACACGCTGGCATACTCATGCATAGAGAGAGATCAAGCATTTTAAGTCCTCGATTTTAAAGAAACTAAACCCTTTCATGTTGATTAGCATAGTCAAAAAATCTATATTCTAAATATTTTTTCGCTTTTCAGCGAAAAGTGTCTTACATATAGTTGCACTCTTAAACGACCTCTAGTGTTTCAAGGGAGCGAAATCCCAAAATTGCTTAGGCATGAATGTGGAGAGGACGTGCTGAGATGCAAACTTAGTGGAAAAAATTCCCTCAAGATATTCGCCAATTTGTCATTAAGTTCGTCGACTAAGACTGGCCTGAAAAAGTACTTCCGAAGACCATTTTCACACATTGATATGTCCCCCCCGACTGTCATCTATTGAACGCTGAAAACCATAAGTCGCTATGACCTTCCATTCAAAAGTTATAAGCCTTTTTTAAAAATTCCGATAGTACTTCTATGTAACCATTTAGAGCTTAGGGGTGTGGGTGTGGGTGTGGGTGTGGGTGTGGGTGTGGGTGTGGGTGGGTGTGGGTGTGGGTGGGTGGGTGAGGGTATGGGTGTGGGGTCTCTTAAATCACACTCATACCCATATCCATATCCATACCCTTGCCCACACCCATACTCACACGCATAATCTGCTCGTAAAATAAATATGAAGTGGATCAAAACTTGTTAAATCGCGATGTAAAACCTAATGGAACAATCGAGTATTCTCGATAGTAATTGAGACTTGGAGAAAGAGGCTATTTGATGGTATTGTATGATTTTTTAAATACTTGGTTTGAAATTGATTTTACCGTATAAAAGATTTCTTAGAGAAAAACTTACTTCTTTGCACTCTGGAAGTACAAAAGTCTGCTTTTCCTCTTCTAATAAAATCTCAATATTTGAAATCTGATTATTATGAAATCAAGAAGAAACCAGTATTGATAAGATCTGTATGGATCAAAGGTCGTTATTTCGAGTGCTTTTTTTCTCTGAAATAATAGGAATTCGTTTAAGAAAAACAACTGAAAATAATCATCGGAGACTAATTAACCTATCATTTGTTAATTACCAAATATTATTTCTTTAGTTTGATCGTTCTCTTTTTACTTTATTCAATAAATAAATCTCCATACAAAATATTTCTCTGAAGTATTAATCAACATGTAAGAATTATTTTTTTATCGTCGAATGGAATGATTATTAATGAAATAAGAATTACATTAGAGGTATGTGATGTTTACACTGTACTACTTTTGATCAACAACTAAAAAGATAAATAATTCCATTTATGTTGAGGCTCTCAAATATTCCGTTAGTTTAATGAGTCCTTCAATTTTGGCTTTGTTTACGCAGATTTCTGGTAATTTTTTACCATCAAAGTAGAACGCACCATTCTCAAGCTTATCATTGGGAGTGTTCACAGCATATAAGATGGAATCAGCACCGAGTTCTGGTGAACGAGTTCCTGGAGCATGCTTATTAATATCAGTGTTGCAAAAACCTGGACATACAGAATACATGAATATGTTTTTACCATCAGAATACTGGCGTGCTTGAACTCGAGTGAGAGCGATCAAAGCCGCCTTAGAGATACCATACGCCAGATAGTGTAAATCATCAGGATATCCAGCTTTTTTAAGATTGTTAAATTCGAGTGCTGAAAGAAAATCTTCAACAAGTCGATCAAGTTGTTTTGTGGTTAATGTTGAGGATGTGTACTTATTTTGAAGATCTTTCGACATACACATTAATATAATTGAACCTATTTGACTGGCGACATTGACCACACGACCATTGTCACGTAAAAGAGGAATTAAATGTTCATTGACTATTTTAATTCCATAATAATTAGTAGCTAGCGTTTCTCGAGCAGCCTGAACACTATCATCTTTTGGTAAAATCCCAGCATTGTTAATAATTACATCTAATTGATCGTTAGTCTTTTGTTTAAACTCATTGATAGCATGAGTGACACTTTTCTCTGACGATGTATCCAATTGTAGAAGATGTACGTTTGGTGGAGAGCCTAATTGATGAAGTGCTTCTTGACCACGTTTTAAATCACGACTACCAAGAAAAATAACAGGATTGGTGTTAGATGACGATTTTTGAGCAAGTTTCTTTACAACTTCAAAGCCAAGTCCTTTGTTGGCACCAGTAACCAGAACAATACGTTGCAGCCCTGTTTTTAACGACATGCCATATATATAAATGCAGTAACACACATGTTGTCGTTATAAAGCAAGAAAAAATGTCGCATCTTGATAGAAAAAAAAACATTTTTTTTGTTCGTTCTTCGCTATCGTATCATATAATGACCTTCCCTCTAACAACACGTGCGCCATTGCTTTTTTTTGGTGATGTATTTTTCCGCACCATCCATAATCCTTTTTACATATCGAATATTTTTGCGCTAACAGATAAAATAAAGTATTAGATGTAAATGAATAATCCATTCCATTAACGAATATCGAAGATGCATGGAACTTGGCTGATGTAAGTTGCAGAATAGTTATTTAAATGTGCATTGAAAGAAACAGGGTTTCCAAATCTCCTGATTTGACCAGAAGACTCTTGATTTTTGGACTTTTCTCCCGATGAAAAATCTTCTGATTTAAGGAGCTGATTTTCAACATTTTCTTCTGATATCTCCTGATTTTTAGTTTTTTCTTCTACTTGGTTGTTAGCGATACCTTGAATCAATAAGAGTGTTACACTTGATAGTCCATTCTTTATTAAAACAAAGACATTTTATATAATCGAGAAAAAGTAGTCACTTGTGTCAGACATTAGGAGCGAGCTGTTCAATCTATGATATACGTTCGAGTGTTCGAAATACTTGCATATCCTCAGGTGATAGATACTTCTTTTGTATATCCAAACCTGCTTCGTAAGAGGACAATGCTTCATCGTACAGTCGTAAGGTTGAATTCACATCACCCATGTAGCACCAGATTGTAGCAACAATTTGTTCATTCAACGGATGACAATTGAACATAAGGGTGTGGTGGGTGCGTGAGCGTGTTTTTATGTTAGAGTATAATCAATAACTAGCAAGACCGGTTTCGATGAGTGCTGAAATTAAACTCATCAATTGCTTTTTGATTATGATATGTTATGGATAATAACTCTCTGAGGAAAACTTCTAAGCTGATAACACTCACATTGATATATTATCGGGTACCTTACATAAACCAAGTACCCAACAAAATGTTTTGAAGAGATTTTCCAACAATCAATGACTGTATAAATTTGTATCGATTGAATTATTAGAAGAATCACTCAAAAGAGTCAATAAGCTAGCAAGACACGTGTTTCGATTACCGCTTAGATGATCACTGATCAATTGCTTGTTAGTATAGTATAAATCTTCTACTATGTAATATTATCGATGGAAGTTTTATGCGAAAACTTCCAAACAGATAATGAACATAAAAAGTTCTTAACAAATGGTAATGGAAAAATAAGGTTAGGTTAGAGATTTGCATGCTTTTTTTGTGAGGATTATGAAATACTTACATCGTTTGCTGGATTGTTGCTGCTACGCTGAAAGCGTTATTGTTTGTAGACATTGTACTGGTAAGTATATATCTAGAAGACAAAATATAAATGAAATACTTGTAAATTCAAAATGAATAATTATGAAAGAAAGTAATAAAGATGTAATAAAAGAATGAACATTAATTGTAATGAAATAAGAATTAATATGTTGCATAGTCTAATATCAGAGTTTGAATAATGACAAATACAAGAAAGTATAGTGTATGAAACATTTCACATATTTAACACAAAAAAAAACTATGGAAATAACAATGTGTAACAGCAAACCGGATCTGAGTAGTAAAGAAGTATCATAGATAGACAACGAAAACAAAAACAGAAAAAAATCTTTAGATTTTTCAATCAACAGAAAATATTTGTGTCATTAATGGAATCGTCCTTGTATTGTTCTATGAGCTGCTTCAGTGGTTGGCTGTATCTTGGTCGACATATCACGTTTAGGCTTCTTGTGTATTAAAAGAGTTTGTAATGTACGATTCAATATTGCACCAAGAATAACTCGGGTATTTTTGAAACGTGATCCTGGATAAACATAGAATTTTTACCATATTTGACGATATTCTTTTTTGAAATCTAATAATGGTCCATTTTCAAATGTATGATGGAGATAAATTTGATCTTCATGTTCATAATTTTTTCTATTTTGAATCAAATGACCATTCACCTGGACTTTTGTTTTACTTTCTCTTCTTGTTGGTTTGTAAAGTAATGCATTATGTAGCTGTTAATATGTTGCATTGTCTGGTTCAGTCCATATCTTCATAGCATCATGTTTAACAAAGAAGTTTTTTAAATGATGTTGTATAAATTTTGGTGGATAACCATTAACAAATAATATCATTTTTACACTTAATAGTTCCATATCAAAATCTTCCACAGTTGAACAGATACGTGCTACTCGAACTAATATTGTATAAATTATATTGGCATGAATAGATCGTGGATGGTCAGATTTATAAGGTAGAATATAGGGTTCACAAGCTGATTTATGATAAATAGTTGTTTTTAAGTTTCCATTATTATTTTCAATACTAGCATCAAGATATTCTAATGATTGATTTATCGTAATAGTAGTTTTAATGTTTGGATCTGTTTTCATTATTTCTACAAGTTCTTTTAGGATTTCTTCTTTTGATAAATTAGTTGTCATAAATACATTGCCAATATATCTATAAAATATTAATAAAGTATCAGTATAAAAGAATATAGAAATAATTATTTGAAACTCACCGGCTATAAATTTCATGACGTCTATTTTGATGTTGAATTAATTTTTGTTTTCATTCTAACATATAAATATTGGCTAAAACCCTAGTAAATAGTGAATCCATAGCACCATCTTTAATTTGTCGATAATATTTATCTTTATAAGCAAATAAATTTGTATCTAAAACATCACATGCTAATTGAATAATAGTATCTATTTTGAGATTTCCAATTTTTCCATTAATTGAATATTTTTGACAAAACCGTCTTAACCCTCAGACGGTATTTTCATTTTATCACACAAACGGTATTTTGTGGGTCCGGTGGGACCCACATGTAAATGACTTAGGAGAATTTGATTTTTTTTGTCTATTTTGCTTTAGATATGATAATGAATTAAAGCTTATATTATAATTTTTATCGAAGCATGGATGCTTTAGTATGATTGTAATGTATGAGAACGATTGCATTTTTAAAAAGTTTTTGAGAAGGGATTATGATAAAATTACTGCTTTAAAAAGTTATCGGATGAACAATAATGTATATGACTATAGTATGGAGAGTGAATGTCGTCATATATAGCCACTTATATTAAGAGTTTTGTGCTTGAACAACTTTTGAAGTTTTCAGGCTAGTTGTTTTCAGTGGAAAAAACTCAGGTATGATTGCCATGACCATGACCAAAGTCGATGGCAGAAGTATCTCGACCAAAATATAAGAAAATCCATCAGACAAAGATAAAAAACACACGATTCACTATTGGCAATGTTGCAGTAACGAATTATAGATAAATAAACTCTCAAGACAGTAGAGAGCAGATGTAATAGGAATAAAAAAAACAGCTGTATAACATCAAAGGTGTTAGAGGGTCTATGCGAACCCACATTTCAGTTTCTTACTGGTAAGGTTTTTGTAAGAAATTTGATATGGCACTTGTGCATCGTTAGAAGACTAACGATTAGCGGAAAGATGGTTCCGAAAAGGTTAGATCTTTAAGTAGAAAAAAAATGAAAAATAGCGTTGTGGGTCTCGTCGCATCCACCAAAACCGTAGAAAAGTTAAAGCAGCAATAGCACTATCACGTGGTATCATAGTATATAAATCAGCCACGTCAAATGTAACAAATAATGCTGTTGAAGTGAGATAACCTTGCTGTTGATATTCTTTTATTTTTCGAATCACATCGATATTATTGAGGGTGTGTGTATGGGTGTGGGGTGTGGATATTCACTTCTTCCACACCCACACCCTAATCAGAACTTTCCACTTCAATACCTCAATTATTAAGATAAAATATTTTTTAACAAATTCCGTATCGGATTCTGTAGTATTACGATGAAGTTTATTAAATTCACTTGGCTATAAATGCATATCGATATGTTTCTGATCCTATTGAACAAAAAAACAATTATTTGACATTGTTGTTTTTTCTAGATTCATTATAATGAATTTATCAATATTCAAGTATGAAATGATCGAATTAAATATGTCCAACATAAAACTAAAGAAGCAATTAGTTCATCAAGTTAATATATCTTTAACCCAAAGCAATCATGCAAATTGATGTCCAATTTAAAAACTTTATTTATAGAGTAATCTGTTTCTTACAGACACGTCTTTCCCTTTTTCTCATACCGTTTCCGTTTGTTTGCTATTGTTATTTTTAATATTTGTGGAAAATGTAAATAAAAACAAAAACACCTAAAGCAAAGAGATTGACTGTTTATTGAGAAACTTTTTTATTTGAATTTCTTCCTGATGAAATTAAATAAATAAATATACAAAGAAATTTGATTCACACATAGTCATAAATTCATGAAAAAAAAGTGAACATAATAGAAAAAATCAAACAAAAAATAAATTCAATTTTTATCTTCATCATTGAGTACTGTATCATGTGTTGTTGCACTTAAAGGACTTGAATTATTCATCATTTTATCATCACCTCTCATGTTACCACCATTGATTGATCCATAATTGCTAACTATAATCTGCTAAAAAAGAAAGTTATATATTAATCTTTTCTCTGATTAACTTTTGATCTCGCCATCAGATTTGTCTCTGTCAATCAGAAATTTAAATTTAAATTATGATGGTTTTGAAATGAGAAAATACTTTTACGTTTTCAGTGAAACACAAAATTTATTATTTAATTCAACTACAGTCACTTTACACATTTGCCAATTAGTTTATATTCTGCTTCGGTTTTATCTAATTCAACTTGTAATTGCAATAATTCTGCTGGTGATTTGCTTTCTTGATTTGTCGCTTCCATGAGAACTACTTGGATACTTTAAAATATTTTCTTTGTTTCATCTTCGATTTGAAATAGTTTACTGATCAAAATTATAAGAGGTTCACATTGAATTTTCAAGAAGACTACCATAAACGTTTGTTTACATATCTCACCACTAGCATTATTGATAGTGAC